CGGTCTAAGTTGTGACGGTGACGTATCCAGATGTATTTTTTATATACCGATTGATAGGCTGGCTATTATTGCTTCGGGAGTATTATCAACAAAAGCCTGCGGCTTCATGTAAACATCAATTGTTCTATAAGGTCGTGCAGTCTCTGATTATTCAAAACCTTCTTGTCCTCACCCAAAGCGTACGGAACTCAAGAACAAAGCTTTTTGACCTTGCCTTTCGACTACAGATATCGAGCTATTGCTGATTTGTCACATCCCACATTTTCAGTTACTTCCCGAAATGTTTGATGAGAATCTACTTGAAACTTAGCCCAGAACGTAGTGTTCCTAGAACCGAAATCTCCTACAGCCTACATCGCCTTGATTCCTCCATGAAATTCGAATAAAGGATATCGGAAAGGTTCACTTTGTCAACCTAATATTCTGTTTCCTTTGAACTGTAAATCATAAAAAATAATTACAATTATAAATTATGATACACTTCCAAATGTGGTTGATTAGAGGAGAAAATTGACGTATAACCCGAATACAATAAACAAACCGTTGCTTAATTGAATTTAATCAGTTAATTGAACCCGCGCTAGGTTATGAGAAAATCCAAATATATTTGTTTTTTAATGGTCCTAATGCAAAAATCGCCGGGAAAAGTCTATATGAGATAATGTCCAACCTGGCTGTTTGGCTGTTCGTGTGCTGACCCCTTGGCTGTGTAAGTCATATAGTCTTCCATTTTGAACTCGTATGATGAGCCAGTGGACGCTACTTTGATTGGTCCCACTCAGCAGGGGTGGGTCAGCGGTTTAATTCAATATTACCACAATTCATTTCTGACAGTGTACTTCTTGACAAGTTGTGCTTGTCAGTCTCGGGTTGTTACGGTGGTCTTCCTTCCTTCTTCTGTCTGTTCCTCCTCCATTCCAAAATTCCCCCAGACAACACTGTCTGGTAATCACGTCACTGATGTGTGCCGCCCCATTTGGTCAGACTGCCAATCAAGCGCCCCTAGCTCATCTCTTCCCCC